AGACTGACAAATCATCTCCGTTCAGAATCGTTTTTCGTATACAATGATACCTATCATTGCATTCAAATTTAATCCCATCCATTACAGTAACCTACAGTACAGCAGAGCGACATCCACGACTTACCCGCTTTTTTTTTTTTTAGTTTCTGTTGCCGCAAATAGCATCAATATAACCATCGTATTATATATATTCAGCAATTAACGGTGGTCGATAAATACGTAAAAAAAATAAATACTATAAGGCATAATACAATACGTCATATTAAAATGATAAACGTACTTGTTAAAATATATAATGTATAAATGTAGCATGTAGATACATATTATATTTTATATATRTGTGATTGGCGTCGTGTCGTCGCCATGTGTAAATATATCGATGGAATATCAAACTGTATATATTTCAATATAGTTGTGACTTCTGAACTAAATTCCCTCCGCCGTCTAGACCATAGAGTAATATTACTCTATGGTCTAGACACTAGACCTGTAGATTTATATAATATACATATTATATTATATTATATGTATTTGCATTCATATCGAAATCGAACTGATTTAACATATATGTAATTATGTATATATATATGTACCTATAATAGATACTATAAACATATTTGTATCAATATCATAGCTGCCATTTCGATGTTGTGTTTCGTACGATTCAATTCCACTTTATATATATCTATTATACTTATTATTATCCAACGTTACCCACGCGAATTGCAATGCCGTTTTTCATTTAACACCATTAACACCAATCACGTCACACACCGCACGTATTATAGGCGTTAATGTAATTTATTATCATCAATCTAACTATTCAATCATTATTTTCCGTCAAAAATATCAGTTCGAACCGTTTGCTTGTTTTTTTTACGGAYGTCAAAACGAGAATAGACTTAATTTACAATATATTATTTATATCTGTAGTTATTATACTGCATCATTTACTCGTTTTTCTGTCGGAATAAAATTAGTGATTTTGTATTATGATGTTKATTAGAAAAAATCAATATCCGATCATCAAAACAACACCACTCCATGATACACGTATGCTTTACGCGTTACGCGCGCGTACAGGTCCAGAAATTAGGTTAGAAGTTACTCAACATTATTCGATCTGAGTCTCGACACCTTTGGATATATCTCATCAGTCGTCATYGCCAGATTTCTGATTCATTTTGAGGTCGCTATTAAAATATTTACCTTTCTATCCACAATCTAATATTATTCACTCCGACCAGTCCGACCCAACCTTGATTTAATCTCATTTATAATAATATCACATTCAATGATTTTGAGACTCAAACACACTCGTCATACATGATACACACAAGTGCTCCTGCAGAGAGGGCAAACCGGGGCTATATTCCCCAAATAAGATAATATTTTTTATAACATGGTATACTATACTAGAATTTATAAAATATATACGTTTTGATACACCTATATACCTGCAATATATATAATCCAAATATACTATAATTTAGCCTTTGAATTTTATTCTTGGCCCAGGTAGGTTTTTATTTTGTGGACGCGACTGCATATTATGCACAATACTCGTAAACTACTGCAAAAGTTACTTATAATCATTAATGAGTGTCATGATACCGTGCTATAAAAAAATCTAAAAAGTTCCTACATTTTTTTTCGTTTACATATAAAATAGACGATAAAGCGCTCTACTGTCTTAAGCAGGTCAAGCCGTTCACATAATAATACAATGCACCCCACCCGCTATTAACGCACACGCATACGTCCCCCGAAGCGACAATCTTAAGCGGGTGTCGATCAAAGTCTCGTCTCAAAATATTCAAACGAGTAACGTTCGTGTGCAGTTTATAATAATCCATGGACCGAGACTACTATTATAGGTACGTCATATTTTACCACCAATCGTCGTTAAACACAAACTTTCACTGTACACTTCCTTAATTTTGTTAATATAAAATATAACAACAGTACAACACTCAAAACACATCCTAGCAATAAAGCATAATATGAGGCATGGACTGCAGTTAATTTAATATGTTAAAACGTATTTGTAGGTACCTATGTCCAGTAGTGTGATTTAAAGGGAGGGTGGAGAAATGATTTAAGTTTCGTATCCACCATGACTTTATTTTTTTTTAACCGGCAAACCATAAATAACTATAAATATTATTAGTTATAGGTGTTATAGGTAAACTGTAGAGTGTTTTATAGAAATAATAAAATCCCGAATCCCCAATAGCTTAACATAACTTTACTGAGATAATATACTTCCTAATAAACACTGTAATCACTATCTCACAAATGTATTGAAACACCTACGTCATAACGATGCAGCTTAGTTTCCAAGCGAATTTTGGAAATTTCTTTTGAAAACCTATGTATTGAAACACAATATGTATATAAATTAGGAAAAATGATTTTTATTTTTCAATTCTATGGTCACCCTTTAAGAGGCCTATGCCTYAAGTCTAGAGTCTGTTTCGTCACATCCAGTTTGTACATTGTACTCACCCTGTCCATTACAATCACAGATAGCCATTGCGTGTGCATGCTTCTGTCCATGTAGATTYTCGCGGATCTGGACCCGAGCACCATATCCACCCTTCGACATGGATATCCGGGACTGTGCTTTTATCCGCATAGGACTGTCATTGCTGTTGATTATAACCCGTTTTTCGGCCTCATGATTGAAACATTGCACGCCGGCCACTATCACTGCGGCCAGTACCTGTGTAATAAAAATGTACGAAAAGAGACTTTAACAACCGTCAAAAAACATGTCGAAACGCCCACGCCATACCAGACGGCGTAAACACGTGATATAGGTATAACTAAATAAGCGTAGATGCTATTTAATTTAATTTTTTTAAGCATATGTAATAAGTTTTTTTAAATTTTACACTGCCAACACTTTTAGTTTAAACATAGATTTTTTAGTTATGTTATAATGTTGTCGGTTTGATCTCTTATATATACTATAAATACATACATACAACGGAATATAGTAATAATAAGTAATAAACTAATAACTATAGTTATAGTGTATACACTATAATCACTAATGCCATCAAATATTCAAATTTATTTTATGGTATAAGATAACAAGCTTTTTGATGCCTTATTGGCTGGTGAAAACGTTTTATTTGACTACTTTGACCCAAAGAACCGGTTGATAATTTCGCAAGATCATTAATATTACCTACCAATCTACCATCCAATAATCACTGTCTTCGTTTCGTTAATATATTTTCCCAAATAAATACATTTTTTTTTTTTATGTTTATTTATAATATAACAACGAAAATATGACATAATTATATTTAACAGATTTTTGATTCTAGTTTAATAGCAAAATGTTTAAAATGTATAACAGTAAAATATTTTTTGAATATATGCGTAAACAAATTAACTATGAAAAATGATTATAGAAGTTAATATTTAATAGTTTTACTGATGTTTATATTTATGAAAAACATATATATGATTTAAAAAATATATATATACAATTAATGACAATAAATTTAGAGAGCATGTTTTGTTAATGATCAATTCATTAAATTCTGTGATATTTAACATTACATGTTAAACAGTTTAAAGATAGTAGATCTCAACTAACTATTTGTTATACATGTTCATATATAATTGTAATATTCGTTTAGCAATTTAATTTAAGATACCATTATCGAATTGTGTTTACCGCAAAAGTGAATTACTCTTTAACGATTGATCTACTGGTTTGACGCTTTCACAAAAACAAATTTTCATAATTATTTAAGTAGTTTAACATTAATCTAACTATGTAGTCATATTACGAAAGTATAACATTATTTATTATAAATATAGGTACAYGCATGTAACTTTAAACACGTGGAGTAATTATTTCATGTTGAATCAAATAAGCAAACATATAATTCATCTTTCCCTAAACATTATAATTTTAACTGTAATACTTAAATTATGAAGTATAGATTTTATAAACAATAGACTGTATTTCCAACGATGAATAGTACACTGGTATTAGTATAATATTAATGGTATTAGTATAATGTATACACTTAAAACACGCATTCAGAATAAATTCGACTAGCAACGAAACTATACGACATTCGTGTCCTTGTAAAAAAAAATCGATCTCAATAGTAATATAATATTGTGTTACTACTTTACTAGTGAAGAATATAAAAATGAAAATTACACAGTAACACCTTGGTTTTATTTTATAACAGATGTCATATTTTACATTCCATTTTGTTTGTCGTCTCCGTCAGATCGATCGGCTGACCGACCGTCACAGACGGCGGCGACCGACCAGGTTTCTAGTTGATGGTGAGAGTCCCCCAGCAGCGTTTCGGGTTTGACAAATGAATTTTTACGTGCAATATTGTTCATTTTATCATTGTGCCATCTGTCACAGATGGAATAAACGAAGAGCAAGAAAATCTGACGAAGATGATACGACGACGGAAAAAATAGAAAGTGGTACTCAATGATATTTTCACACACATCAGAACAGTATAGTCCCAATTAATAATTAACTATATCTATAACAACATGTAGGATACACACACATATACATTACACATATTATTATATTTTATATGGATATAATATAATTTACAGACCGATGGACTTTTTATTACGGCCCCCACGCCCATTGTCCGCATCCGGTTCTTCTCTAATGATAATAATATTAAATATAAACCCGCTATATAATATATTTATGTAGGTATAGGTCCATCCAAAGCACCCGTTCGTGTCCAATTCAATTAACTGTTTTTTTTTCCATGCCACAATGTCACGACGTACAAATACAAATAGTAACTGACAACTTGTAATCAATTCGAACGGTTTTATAT